GTAAAAATAGAGATTAGAAATCTCAAAAATTTATCCTCGGAACTTCTATTGTAAGTCATATTTGTGGGATTCCAATTTTTACATATGAGATGAAAATATTTTGGGTACCAGAGAAATCTAATTGTTCACCTCCTTCAAGTACAGTCTAAAATGATCTTAATGCTTCTTGCACAGATTTGAAGTAGAAAATCTGAATAGCTGTTTAATTATGTTTCTTACTAGCAAAGCATGTGAAATGCAGCTAATAGTTACAACAATTAGAATTGCTGTAAGCTTATTGGGCTTATTATAGTTATGACTGTGGTAGGTAACATAAACAGGTGCTTTATATCAAAACAGACCCATGATCCACCTAGCTCAGTGTTGCCTGTTTTTAGACAGGGTTCTTTCCCAGTCCCTCCTGAAGATGCTAGGGATTTAGAATCTCCTGCATCAAAAGCAGGTTTTCAGTCACTGAGTTATACAGGTAGTCCTTGCTTAACAACCACAATAGGGACCAGAACATTGGTTGTTAAGCAGGGTGGTCATTAAGGGAGTCACTACGGGACCAGACCCTATTTTATGGCCATTTTTATGATGGTCATTAAGCGGATCACCGTGGTCATTAAGCCAATCATGTCATTAAGCGAATCCAGCTTCTCCAATGGACTTTTTTGCTGGAATTCGTTTAAAACCATGTGATTCACTTAACAGCCATGGTGATTTGCTTAACGACCATTGTAAAAAAGGTTGCAGATCACGGTCACATGATTGCAGGAGGGTGTTACGATGGTTTGTGACGGTCATAAGTGTGAGTACAAATCGTAAAGCACGTTTCCCAAGGCCATTGTAACTTCGAACCATTATTAAACAAATGGCTGTTAAGCGAGGACTACCTGTAGAGCATTCCCTAAATTATTTAGATTATCTCTGCATGCAGGTTTATATATTTTTGTTGTTTTGAAACAAAGATTCTAAGTAGATCTTATATTAATCATACTTGAATTTCAAATTATTAAATGTAATTGATATATCTATATGCTTTACTTTGTCTCCCAGTTTTTCTAAGTCATAATTACAGAGCCAATCTTGTACAATTATTTGATTTGCTCAAAGCTATTATCTAAAATACTTTATAGACTCAGTTTTTCAAATGCATTATCTGTCAGTAGAATAGTGATTTTTTTCAACATTATTGATTTAGAATTTCAGATTTTACCTAACACAGCTGTATCTTAGTCTCTAGAAATCTGTAAAATGGAAATCTTCAGTGCCATAGTACTTACAAGTAATCATTTACAAATTAGAGTAACTAGGAAAATGGAAGCCAGTTCTGTTTGGTAGGTTCATTGTGACTAAAGTAGTTTGCTCCCCTGTTTGTAGAATGAGTTACCAGTGGTAGAAATAAATACCTTTGGGAAGAGCAGTATTTGGTAGGGGAAATGTTTGGCATTTTTTGTTGTTTTTACAAATCCTTTTTCCTAAGTGAGCACAAATTCTGCAGCAAGTTAAGCCTCTGACAACACCCTGGCTCTAACTTACAGTGCAGCACAATGGCTGCATTGAGTATAACTGCTGGGGAAACCCTCCTTTCCTACTGATCTTGTAAATGCAGCTCTTTCTCTGTGAAATATCCTGACATCAGCTTTTGGAAGAATCCAAGGACTAGTGTCATGGAACAGTGCTAAGGAGCTTGCTTGAGCAAGGACTGAATGGCTAGACCACAGCTGAAACTTCAGTAACTAAACTCTTACACTTTCACTGTATTTATACCTCAGTTGAGAGCCAGTTTGGGGTAGTGGTTAAAGGTACAAGGCTAGAAACTGGGAAACATTTGAATTTTAGTCCTACTTTAGCTGTGTGACTTTGGGCCAGTCAGCCTTAGGAAGAAGGTAGTGGCAAACCACTTCTTAAAATGCCAGCATGATAATAGTATGTCCAGGCAGTCTCCAGGTGTCAAGACAGATCAAAGGCAGAAAAAAACAAAACAAAACAAAAAAAACTTAAGCTATTGTCTAACTCTGTTTCTAATATAGACATTAATCCATTACTTCAGGGTTAGTTTCAAAGAAAACCAATATTGCATTTGATACGGCAGTCTTTCTGTGATAAACAAAACACATGTTTGAAAAATGTACTGTTTTATAATTTGCTGAGTAAGATCTAAAATTTGAAATGGGTTGTAGAAAAGTTGGTGGAATATGTTATGCAAGTTTTAAACCACCTTCAGACACTATAATATCTCCAGCTTTAGTCCTCCCTGAAGAAAAGAAGATAAATACTGAACTTGTAGGTGATGCATACAGTGCCATGTGATGTGATCATATCAGATAATTTGTAAGGATTGTCAGTTTGACGGCAATGCTAGTTTCATAATTTGCAATCCTCCATATCAGTTTTAGTATATATAGATTTTGCACAGCTTAGTTTTGCTTAATCTTAATCATTATGACTATCTCTGCTCTTTAGTTCACTGGTGTAGTTATAAGCAACACAGTAGCAATTTTGATTTTCAGTTTAGTATGGTATGAGAAAAGTGTACTTTTTGTAAAAAATAACTACATAAAATCTACGTAAAATCACTACATAATTTCAGCATAACAGAATTTCTTTTGTAGGGAGCTTCCCTTGAATAAATACAAAGCCACTTTCTAATGAGTGGGACGATGCACTGTTCACCTAGGTGTAGTGCAGTTTTATCATCATCATCATCACCATCATCATCATCATCCTTTAACACCATCAAACAACATCTGCCTACCCCAGGTCCTTGGGAAGGACTTGATAGGTGGATAAAAATGCCAAATCCAGTCTAAACATCTGGCTGACAGTGTGACCAACAATAATTTGTAAAATAAAAATAGATTAATCTTAAAAGAAGCTACCAGAGGTTTTTTTTTAAGTAGTTACACCACAGTGGATACCAGTTTAATTTGGTTTCTTGAATGCATACATCTGAATCTTTTATTTTATACTGATATACATACACCACCTATTTAATTTCTGACACTATTCAGAGTATCTTACCCAGTTGTGTTGGGACTTGACAGATGTGTCGTATCAGGTTGGGAAGATGGTTTTACACCAAAATATATTAATATATTCAGCAAATAATCATGTTCTGTGAATAATATCTAAATCATATGAGGAAAAATATTCCCCTTGTGTATATGTTCTGTGCGTGTGATGGCATATTAGAGTTAGGGTTGGCTTTTATTGGATTACAGTACTAGACAACCTGTGACCTGTTGGGTCATCATTTGAGAGAAAGGTAGTGCAGTCTGATTTGACCAGAATGAAGATTAAATTTTCCTGAATTGTAAGAAGACTATATATCATATAGGAGAATAATTGTAGTGGCAAACAAACTTCAATAATAAGTCAGAATTTACTATGGCAAATGAACTTCAGTAATAAGTCAAAAATTACTTACCTAAAGAGATCAACAAAGACCACAGGCAGGCAAAAAATCAGTGGGAGCAATTTCTGGCTTCCTGTCAGCTTCCCCATTGACTTTGGTTGTGGGGAGCTGGCAGGGAGTATTGGAAATCATGATCATGTGACTGTGGCCGGGTATGGTGGCAGTGCAGTGGCCACAATTTTGCCAATACAACTGGTGTGAAGATCCTTGAAATTTCAGTTACATAGGAGTAATGGGTCCTGGATTTTGTACACATTCTTTAAGTTAGCCAATTTGAGGTGCCTTCATTCAAAAATTGTTGTGTTATGATGCACCATTTTGGCTAATTGAAGGTTACAAACAGACAAGAATTTTAGTAGTATATAGATACAGAAGAGAGCAGGATTTTAATAAAGGCAGGACGTTCATCCAATTTAAGTGTTATTTTGGTCTTTCTGTGTACTAAGTAACAGCATTTTACAGTGGAAAGCAGAAACTAATATTCTTAGGTCCTACTCTTCAAGGAGTGGGCAGTGCATAATAGCAATGTGTAAGATTATGTGTGGTTTCCCTGTAGTTATCTCTGTCATTACTCCTTTTTATTCCTCCCTCCCCTTCAGGATGGATGAAGAGAGAGGAAAAAAGAGAGACTGGAAAATCTGGCTTGCAGCCCATCAGCTTCTGAGAATCTGTCCCAGAAGCCCTTTGTAAAATTTGTCCCCCTTGACATATGCAGCATTGCTTGAAAGCTAGAATTCTCATGTAGAAAGATGAAGGCTAAGGAAGAATAAGTATGGAATATATTTTCCCAGTAATGCATTTCTGAGTCTTTACCTCTAAATCTGTGAAACAAATCTACTCTAATTTTTAGGAATAAAATTGAGAGAGATGCTAAAAATGCTAATGCTGGTTTCATTAATAAAGTTTTTTTCAGCTTTGAAATGAAGCTACTTGATTGCATTATAATGTTGTACAGCTTATAACCAATTTTCATTTGACAGTTTTGTGTAGAACGAAGTGAGTGACTCAATTGTTTTTGTGTGCAACAGATTCTTAAATACTTTTCTAATAGGTGCTTTAAATACCTTAAAGTACAGTGTATATTTGTTAAAAATTATTGTGTTGAATTTAGGAGTAAATCAATTATTTCATTGTTTGTTGATGGACCGAAGACTGAAGGAATGACTGAACTATATACTAGAATATTATTCTTGTGATTCAAATCCTGATGAATTTAATGCTGCATCTCGTTTTAGGGGTTCCTGTAATTATACCACAATGAATGATTTCAATAGCTAGAAGAAGTGTTAGTCATTTTCATATGGAAAAAAGGAATAGAATATTTGCATAATAGAAGCACTACCTGAAAGAAACCTTTATAGATGTGTAATAGAATAGAATCCTTGAGCAGATCATGGGATTAAAGTCTTCCATGTTTCTTTAGTTATTTTGTGGGAAGCCAAACAGCAGTTCAAAATGTGCATCTGAAAAAAGAAGGAATAAAAGTGATTACAAATTTAAATCCTTAAATCTATTACATGGAGGCTGGCTTTAATTTCCTGTAATCTGGAAATAATTTATATGATACTAACTATTTTTATTTATTATTTTTACTTTTCAGGTTTCCCCTCAAAAAACCTACAAGGTAAGTTTCTAAGGATTTGACTTTCTGTATCTACTAAGAAAGTTCTGGTTTTCCCCCATCTTCCAATAACCCACAGAAAAATGAGTTTTTGGATACATCTAGCTGTATCCAAGTTCCACTAACCAGGTTGATTTATTTGTGACATTGGAAATGAACCATGGATTCCTGCCTTTGGTTTACTTTCCTGCACAGAAATAATATGGAAAATTAGCACATATTAGCAGGGCTCTTAAGATTATGAAAAATAAATTTAGCTCAGTTTATGTAATGCCGTAAAAATGACTTTTTTCTTTTTGTTGGCTTCAGGCATGGCAGCATTCTGAGCAGAGAGTCTCCAGCAGACAAGAAGCAGAAGGTTGAGCGCTGCATTAGTGCCCACGATTTTGACCCAACAGGTAGAATTGTCTTTACATCCCAAATAACAGTCCAGATCTTCATGTTACCCAGCTTTGGAATTAAAATGTTGTCTAACCTCTTTCACCAATATTATATTCAGAGACAATTTCAGGGTTTCTTTTTTTTATTTTAATTGCCTAATATTTTTGTAACTGGGATAGCACAGCTTTCCTTATTATTTTGTTCTTTAGTTGTATACTTCTGGAGTTGCATAGTAAATGGGACTTTTGTTTGTTTTAAATTTACCTGGAAAGTTGAGGCCAAGGTAGGAAAGTATACATCTTCTGTTAGAAGAGAGATCTTTGAAGCCTCATGGGCAGATTATACAAGTGATATATTTAGTTTCCCCTGTCTTGTTATTTTGATTCAATTAGAGACTCTGGTGGCTGCTTTTTTGTTTTCGTTTTTTTAGTTGGAACACTAGTGTTGTGAATGTAGCACCCTATAACACACGTTCTGCACTTAAGAACAGAGCCCATTGTGGCTTTTTTAATCATTAGAAGATCCAGTTTTGTTTGAGTGTAAAGCTTCAGGAAACAGTTATATAAAGCACATCCAACAGTTGCATTAGATTATACTCATCTGCCTGTGATTATACTCATCTGTGTATATATATATATATTTCCTTTGCATTAATAGGGATCAATAGCTATTAGCCTTGATGGCAGTGTTACTGCCTCTGAAGGCCATCTGCTGGGAGACTAGTGGACTTCCTTGGCAATTGGTTAGCCATTATGAGAACAGACTGCTGTAGTAGACAAGCCAGAGGCCTGATCCAGCATGTGATTGCTTATTTTCTTAATGAATAAGCCATGTTACTAGCAATCATCCCATGTGGGCTAGTGTAAATGAAGTATTGCACCAATTTATAGTTATGTTGCATGCTTTTTCTTGATCATACTGCAGCTGTTTAAAAAGTAACATGTTGTTCAGTTTACCTGTGTTTGGGAATTCCTTTGGGTGGGCCTTGTGTTCCATTTTCTCTTTAGTGTCTGATATTGCCTGTAGATAACAACATACTGGGCTAGATGAATTATATTGACAGTTTGTTTGCCTATGGAGCAAATACTTAACATTACTCAGGTCTGGAGCTGAGGAGTATTTTCTTCTGAGTGAAATTGCGCTCAATTATTTTATATTTCTATCAACTTTAACTGGACAGACACATTCATTTTCTTTCTTTTGTTTCCCTATACTTGTAGACCATCTGTATTGCATTCAGAGTCTAATGCTGTCTTGGAAATTAGTCTGCATGTGAAGGTTCCACCCACCCCAACCTACTAACCCAGTGACTGACTGCTGTATGCTCCTAACTGTGTGACTGGCTTGCGGGTGAGCCTCTTGGCCCCACATGGTGTGTTGCTTTTCGTTTGTGCAACTTAGCTATTCTGTCCGTTATTCTCCAAGAATTTACCCCAAATGAGAATAACTTTGAAGATCGCAGTGTGTGATACGGGAAGATGCATAATTACAGAGAAAGAACATATTGTATTTGGACCAAATATTTATACCTTCTCTTTGCTGATACTTGCTAGATGAGATCCTGGAGGTAGCTCTTAGGCTTGAATTTGGGAGAATTGGCCATTCCCTATACAGCATAATGTAGCATTTCCCCATCTATAACATAAAAAGAATACTTACTCAGAGTTTGGCTGTGAGGATGAGTGAAGTGTGATCTTCTTAAGAGTTGGGCTTTTAATATAAAAGTAGCCAATATTTCCTTATTTTGCCAGATGAGTGCAGTTTTAAATGGACATTAAAAAGAACTGAAATAAGAATAGTGAAAGAAATGAAAATATACTTATATTCTCGTATGTTAATGTGTCCCTACAGCATTGTGATTAGAGATATTCAGGATCCTTTGACCTATATGTTCAAGAAGGGATATCCATGAAGCAACAAAACATCCCTAGCTATTTCAGGAATGGGGAAGAAAGTATTCCCAAAATAACTAAGCTCAAGGCTTTCTGCCATTTCCAATGTGGCTGGGATAGTTCAGTTTTATTTTCTGAGTACCATTGGCAAATGTAGGGCTTTATATAAAAGACTGTGCATTATAATTTTATATGTATAAAACATCTTTTCCAATTACGCTTTGCTATAGAAAGGAGAGAGCTTGATTATACCTTCTTTTTTCTTACTGGAACTTTACATTTGGTGTTATCTATATAGTCAACTGCTATTATTTCACATTCTGATTTCAGATAGTATCATCTCTGTATGCTCATATCTTGTTTGTGTTTTGCACGAATTAACCCAATTATAGAAATCATTTTATTTTTAATGAATTTTTTCCATGTTGGTCTCCATATTTCCTATATCTCTTCTCCTTTTCTCCTGCTTTCGTGCAGATAGCTCCTCCAGGAAGACAAAGTATAGCTCAGAGGAGAGTAGATCCGAGACATATGGTAAGCTGAAGCAGCCACTGAAGCCTTGTGCCTTTGTTCAGTGTGTTCTGTTCGATTGTTCTGTGTGCCCAAGGCCTCTGCCTTTTCCCTGCTATGCATGGCTAACTTTGCATCAGGGGAAAGGACTGAGCTTTTAATGTGGCTTAAATGTGCAAGCTTGCTGGTGGATACTAACCTGTGTAGCAAACATTAGATGCTTCCTATATTGTCTTCCAGTCTCTAATGAAATATTTTCTTTGGGTTGGAAAGTTTGAGGAATTGGCACAAACTGATATATGGGTAAAACAATTTTCTGAAACTGTGGAGTTGTACTCTGTGGAATATGATAGCAGTTTGCTTAAAGAAAGGGACAGTCTTTTCACTTTTTAGCTTCTCAAGCATTACTTGCTGGAATTTTCCATAGATATCTCTTTATCATATGAAATATTTTAAAAATTCCACAGAACTATGTAGGATGGCATGGATGGCTTTGTAGCTACAATATGAGACTTCAGTTAATTGTACGACAGAAATCTTTATAGCCTGCCTAAATTTTGATCTGCTGCTATTTACCCAATGAATAGTTGGATATAGTTTAAATTGATACATCCAAAGCTGTTAAGATTATTACTAACAATAAGTTCCCAAAGATTTCCTGGGATTTTTTTTTCCAAAACTGTATCTTCTTTATGGGAGACAGAATGCTTTATAAAATAGATACCTCTTTCCCTTTGATTGGTAGATAAGCAGCACCTACAGTGGAGGTTGCAGATATAGCCATAAAAGACATTTTAGCCATCTCTTTAAAAAATAAAAATAACTGCTTCTGACAGTGCATGGGTCTGATTTTATTGGACTAAAATCCTTTTATGGGAATATATTTCTTTCCTTTGCAGCTATTTGCACATTTTTGTGCTACATTCAGAAAAGCCATTTACATAGCATTTTATGAAATTGCAATGCAGTTGTATTGCACAGAGGTGTAACTACTGGTCTTAGTCTTTCCTAATGTACTACTGGGAGAAACCACTGCATAGCAAAGTTTTTCTGTGAAGTAACTAATCTGCCTTGCTTATGGGAAATATGTGGTGTGCCTGTTAGAATTTATCTATACTTTCTTTTCTTTGTTGTACACTCTATCCTGACTTTTCATGTATATGTAATAAAGCATGACTTCGTAATGCAAGCCTTGTTTCCTCTCAGACTTCCTGCAAAAATTCTATCTGTTCAGTTACAAGTTAACTATGAAAGCTCCACTCCTTCCTTTGGTGGTTTTGTTTCCTAGCTTGCTTCCTCCCCCCCCCCCCCCCCTTCCTCCTAGCCTGAAAACTGTGTGGAAAAGTTTGCAATATTTGCTTTGGATAGGACAGGCTATTTAAGAACTTTCAAGCAGAGAATGCTGTGCTTTATCCTGCAGTCTTTCTGCTTGCTTCTGGACACTGGGAAGGAAATAATTTGAAGTGTCAAAGGGGATTAGAGGTGTGGCAATTACCTTTTTTGAGATGAAAACTCTTGAAATTCCTTTTCTGAATTCCTTTTCTGGTCCATAGTCCTTGATTGCTGTCTGGAAAGAGATGTAAAGTAAGTAAGGATTTAGCATGATGAAAATTAGAAGATCAGTCTTTTTTCAGTATTTCTCTTTCTTAGTATCTGAAAGGATAATAATGTTTTATATTTGCTTTAGAATGGCTAAATGTTATTTTCCTTTACATTATTAAGAAAGAGATCTATAGCATAGTTCAGTGCCTTTATCTTGAGTTTGCATTGTTTGGTAATTATCCTGGTTTGCGTCTAAAGAAAAGTAATTTTAGACATGGCATATTGAAATCAAGTTATTTACAGAAATTGGAGTTTCCTAAGAGGAAAACTTAGATACCTCAAGTTAAAGGGAAACAATTTTGAAATAAGGATGACTTCATTATACTTTTTAGTTATTGATGAACCCTAATCATCCAGCCATTAAAATTACCACTTCCTTCAATCAACTTTACAGCATTTTAAACACATTGTTGCATGTACTAGACACCATGAAATAAAAAACTGAGGTTCATAAATCTCTTGTACATTTGCTTGTATTACTTTCCAGATGGATATTTTGTGCTATTCCATTTCACTTATTTAGGTCTTTCTGTATCTTGCCTATAAGTAATAACTCTAAGCAAAAAGTACACTTTAAAATTCTTAGTTGTCCTGCTTTTATAACCACAGAATGACGTGATTACTTTAATATCAAGGCATGGATGAGCAGTTTTAACCAACTGAAGATCTTCATCCGGATCTATAGCACTCCCCTTTTGTTAAAGCCTTCTGATATGCTCTAAAATTATATTTGTGAATTTTGTAGGAGGTGTCACAAAGCAGCATCTATTACAAAACATTTGATTAATAGCAGTTTTGGAAACAAAATTAGGAAGATATGCACAGGAAAAGAAGCTATGCAGATGGCTAAAATTGGCAAAGGTTTTTCTAGGAAGATAAGTTCTTACTCATAAAATTTGTCTGTTTGGCAATTTTATATGAATTGTGTTTTGTTTTAGTGGAAAAAGGATTTATTTCTTCTCCATGCCTTACCTTCAACACCATATTTTGAGTCAAGGCTAATGATATTTAATCCCTTAAAGAATTGGAGATGAAGTGATACTCAAGATTTCTTTTGTTTTTGGATTTTTTAAGATAAGAAGTATAACCAATTCTATTCGGCATCGGGCACCTTTAGACATTACCTTGATAGCATGGTTAAACCAAGAATACAAAACAGAATAGACTATCCTCATGCTATTAGCCTTTTTGGGGAAATAGTGATAGATAGCTTATATTTGCATTTTTATTCCCTAAATTTTGTTAGAGGTCTCTTTTTTTCATCAAATTAGTGCATGTCAGAGAAAAAATTAATTGCTTAAGTTCTTCATTGTGTGTGAGCAATTGCTTACATAATGAATTTGCAAGCTACCATATTTATCAAGAATTATTGCTGTATCAAATTGTATTCTTATTTTTGCTCAGAAGGATGAATTAAAAGTTGGTTCACCTATCATGTGTATTTTCTAAATAGGTGAATTGATAGAGCTATATCCAGGGATGTTTGGATATATGCTTTAATTTTGTTCTAGTATTACATAATTTTATATTTGAAGTTAATTGGCCAATTATCTGAGTAATTGGATGCTTTCATGTTTTTCTCCCACTTTCTTATTTGGGTAAATAGCTTAGTCAGTTGTTTTTCTTAGTTATGAGGCAGCTTCCTAAATGTACAGCCACATTTAAAAAAAAAAAATCAATCCATAACCATCCTGGTTTATTAAGCGTGTATTCATAGACTGTTACACAAGGTTTACCCAGAGCAAGAGACGAAACATTAAAGTTAATTTTCACTGAGTTTACAGAGTATTTACCTCATTAAGTAAAGAAATCTCCTTTACAATCATTACAGTCCTCAAGTATTTTATGCATAATGTTATGTATGCTACTGCAAAAGAAGCCACATAGTGAGCAATCTGGTTATCATATCTAATAACAAAAATATCTCTTTGTTCTTGTAGAATCTAGGTAATAAGAGTATAGTACCTTGACAATCTTCTCCCACCCAGATAAGTATATGAGGCAGTGAAATAGTCAGTGTTCAATCTGGGATTGGCAGTATGTAGATAATCTTTGCATCAGAGAGATTTGATGACATTACCCATTGATCACTGCCGTTGGCATAGTTTTAAAGAAGTATCATTAAATAACCAGCTGTTTCGGTAGTTTGTTTTCTACTTATCATCCTGTGGAACAAATCTAGACTGTGATGACTTGATCGTCAGCTTTAAAATCATATTAAAACAAAAACTGTCCATGCCGTCAGCTCCTCAGTGTGATTCAACACAAATGTATCCATGAATGGGAGAGAATATGAGTGGAATCAATCACTGTATGCTGATTTCCATAACTTGTGATTCTTAGTACATCAAAGTATTGGTTAATTAGGAGCTTCCTATCAATTAGTGAGGTAAATCCATGGTAATTAAGATTTGTGAATCTGAGCTGTCACTGAGCATATGCTCAAAGAAGGATATTTGGAGTAGGATGCACCAAAGAAGTCCTGATGCTCTTTCATTGGTACAGCCCACTTCTGATTGAAATGATCAGATTCCCTTTGAAAAAACACAGATTGCATCCATGATAAAGTTTAACTACAGGTAGTCCTTGACTTACGAACTTTTGTTCAACGACCATTCAAAGTTATGGTGGCACTGAATGAAGGGACTTATGACCCATGCCTGAAGTTATGGCCATTGTAGCACCCCCACGGTCACCTGATCAAAATTCGGGTGCTTGGTAGCCCGCCTGCACTTATGACCACAGGGACGCTTCAACTCCCCCACCTGCCTATCTCCCCATCTGTGCACTTTTGGCTCCCTGGCTCCCTGTGCTCCACCGCCCCAGCTGACTTTCACTGTCTTCTCACTCCTGCTGCTGATGAGATATGACCAGCCTGGCTGCTGGGCCGCGCTGGGGCTGGGCTTCGCACTGTGAAAAGAGCAAAAAGCAGCCCCAGAGCTGAGGTGCGCCAAAAAGCCCCTTTGCACGAAGCCCAGGAGTGAGGCACAAAGGGGCTTTTTGGCATGCCGCAGCTCTGGGACTGCTTTCTGCTTTTTTTCCCCACAACGTGAAGCCCAGCCCCAGACCAGACCAGCAACCAGGCCAGGCATGCCTAGTCAGCAGGAACAAAAAGATGGCGAAGGTCAGCTGGGGTGTCGGAGTGCAGGGCAGCAGGGGTCTTGGAGTGCAGGGTGGCAGGGGTGACTGCAGCTGGGACTGGGCTGGGGTGGCTGCTGCTTCCCGGGACATAGCAAGCAGCCCCAGAGCTTCACAGTTCTGGGGCTGTTTGCCATCCCGCAAAGCAGGGTGCAGGATGGCCAAAAGGGCAGAGATGGGAGGGAGATAGGTTGGTGGGGAGAATTGGAGGTAGTCCCTTACCTTACTGAGGCTCAGGGCTGGGATGGTCCAAGCCCAGAATGGCTTGGATTGGGATGGGTACTCACTTAGTGACCCGTGATTCTCGGTTAACAACAGCAAACAGTACTGCTGGGGTTGCCATCGCTAAGTGATGTGGTCATGTGACATTTCGCTTTATGACGACATTGCTTAGTGATGGAAATTCTGATCCCAATTGTGGTTGTAAGTCAAGGACTACCTGTATAGGTAATATCTTACAGATGTAAATGTCTGAATGAGTACAGAATGGATCTTCATGGCATTTAATAGAGCCTTGGGATTAGCAACTTGACTGATCATTCCTTGCAGTAAGGCTGTAGTTTATTTCATGACAATGAGTTGAAAGCATGATCAGCTTCCACTCCCTGAGAATTTTAATAGCTTATTAGTGGTTACTTTCCTGCTATTAGAAAAATGTATGAATCATACAAATTTGAGTATGGTGAATCTTCAGTCATTTTGAAGAGTTAGACAAATTTTATAGCGATACACATTTCATTTATTTTATTTAGAAAGATTATATGTATGGAATGACGTAAACAGTTCTTAAAAGATCTATGTTTAGAATATGCTCAGTGCACCAAAGCAAACTTCTCCTTGTTATCTCTGTTTCATATAATCAGTGTCTGAAAGGCAACTGACCTATCTTCTGCCTTCTATCCCAATCTTCTATTTTTTGTTTTCTTCCTTCTCCACTGCCATCCCCAGCTTCATTTTGCATAAGCTTTCATGTGGTGGACTTTGAGAAATTTTTACCAGCAAATGATTTTTCTCTGATGCCTACACTGATGTCTCCTTGTCATTCTTTCTCCTTCCTGTACAGGTCTAGTTCAACGGTGTGTTATTATTCAGCGGGATGAAAATGGATTTGGGTTAACAGTCAGTGGCGACAACCCAGTCTTTGTACAGTCTGTCAAAGAAGGTGAGTAGACTGATTCAGGACCACTTTACATGTTATAGTTCTAGCAGGCACATTTTGCAGTATGCAGCTGTAATGCATGAGATATAAATGTGCTCTGTGTTGTAAAAACATGCTTAAGAGGGTTATCCTTGGCCCTAATTCTTAACATGTTTCTGCAGTACATACATGAAGGAAGAAACACAAACATACTATTATATGTTACAGTATACAAGTAAATCACACAATTTAATTTATACTCACTGTTGTGGTAACATCCAAAGTGATACCAAAGGCTATTGAATGACAGAATGTTGTGCTTGAAGTACAGTACCAAGTCCAAAACAGTGCTTTTTGCATATCAGAAAAAATATACTGTAGATACAGTTGTAAAAGCCAGGCATAATAAAAGTATCAAGCTTGCTTGTTTGAAAAAAAAAAAAAGACCAAGTAACCTGTTTAGCTTGGGGTAAGTTTAATAAAGCCTTGGGAGACTTTGCATTTTCACAAACCAAGTTCTTCATAATGCTTTGTTATGAAAGAAATCATGCTTTGTTGCGTGTGGCCCTTGCATAACTGGCAGGAGTCTGATAGAACTTTTTCCAACTAACACATTTTATTAAAAGGGATGAGTTTTGTGAGCCGAAGCTCACAAAAGCTTATGCTTTTTTAATAAAATGTGTTACTTGGAAAAGGTGCTACCACACCCTTTCTGATATGTTGCTAACAAGATTCTTTTTCTACAATACCTTGCATAACTGGAAATGCTAGAAATAATGTATTGAATTTTAAGTAGCTGATTCTTCTGTCTAGATGGAGCAGCCATGCGGGCTGGGGTTCAAACTGGTGACCGTATCATTAAGGTAGGATCACTTAGTGTTGGAAGAATAATTTGAAGGAGGTGAGAACTGGGAATGCCTCAGTAGCATTCATCACTTTTCATCACTCTATATGTTTTGCTAAACCTTACCTCTGAGGAACAGTTGAAATGCAGGCTGTGTATCTATGTTTAGAATTAGCAGTACAAATAAATCCTTTATTTGATGAACAGATGTGTGGAGGGGGGTTCAATAAAGCTGAATGTCTGTTAAGTGGCAAATGATTTTTTTCAAACACAAAAACAGGGTCATACCAAAAAAAGGGGGGGGGAGGTTGAGTCACAGCCAAAAAGCAAGAGGCAGTGTAAGCATGGGTACTTGAGCATCTGAAGTCCTCTGAACTTAATTTAGGAGTTTACTGTGAGCAATAAGTGCCTGTTTCTAGCTGCTTTTTAAAATAATTTTGCTTTGTAGACTGATATAAATGGCACTAGATTACAACTTCATGTCTGCAAAAAGGTCTTAAAACATGAATATGTATATGAAAGCAAAGCCAGAACTCCTGCTTCATGCCTTTACGCTTGATTTTTTCCCCCACTTTCTAAACTAGACCTCAGAATGTCTAAAAATTTGGCTGTAGAATAGCCCATAGAGAATAACTTAGTCTTTTTCTGTTGCTGTACAAATATATGCTCTGTGTGATGATTTTGTTTTTAAAAGAGGTGACTGAATCTTGGAGGGTAGTTTTGTCCAGCATGATATTGGAACTGAATTCCTAATGAAGAGCATGGGGGAAGTTAAATCGGTTTAGTTCTGTGGGTTAAGAGATCTGTCATCTTACTCAAGTTGAAAATCAAAATAAGTGCATTTGTTATCTTTTGATAGGTGAATGGGACTCTGGTAACACATTCAAACCATTTGGAGGTGGTTAAGTTGATAAAGTGTAAGTAAATGCTGTTCAAGCTGCTTTATTCTTTTTTTTTTTATTCTTTTAAGAGATTTCTGGGAAGGATGATGAAGGTCAAGCTGTCATGATACTGTCAGGAATTTGATTTTAGCCCTGGTGTTGAAATATCACGTATTTGAAAACCTTAGGGTGCAGTTTTGGAAAACAGCATGAAATGAAATGAAATGATTTTTTAAAAAAATATTTAAGATCAACAAGACTGTTGAATATATTTTGACTGACAGATGACTTCCACTGTTTACTCTGTTAACCCACTGCTCTATTTTCGTTGTGTCAATCATCCACTATTGTTCCAGTTGTCTGTCTTACTGAGTCAATATTAGGGCTTTGTCTGTGCTTTACTATCCTGATTCATTGTGCCAATCTTCTCCATTCTAGTTCCTTCCAGAAGTGTTAGCAGTGTTCTCAACCTTGGCAACTTTAAGATGGGAAGACTTCAACTCCCAGAATTCCCCAG